TCCGGAGATAAATGGATGACAGTGTCTTGTGTTTTTCTAAGTACAAGTATTTGCTTTGTCTTGAGATTTCTATCTTGTATGGACCGTCCAATATGTTTCTAAGTCAACTTTGAAGCTTAGTAATACTTGTGGTGCTGCTGCGCTACTGTTGGTATGTCGATTACTTATGTATGTGAATAATGCCATGCAACTTTAGAGAGGAAAGTTCTCCTATTCAAACCTGCGGAAAATTGTTTGTCTTTGAGCCCTAGGGTCTTTCGGAAACAGTCTCTTTATTTGTGTACACTTTATCCCCAAACTCCACAATCTGAGATTACAATGGGTGTTGTTTTATTGTTATAACTTTAAAGAGGAAAACTTGTGCGAGGCTTTCGCTTAATTTTTGTTTGATAGGTCCTTCACTTTAGTGGTTTAGAGACTATCAGAATACAAAATCATCCAGTGCTGGTTGTCATATGCCTCTTTATCTTATATTCTAGGCTAGATGAGAAATATCCAAATTAGTAAAAAGTAGTGTAATAGTTTACAACTTTACATCATACGAAGACTTGTCAAACAAGATGATAAAGACCGACTGGTCTCATACCCCAAAAGGAAGAATACGAGGGAATATATTTACATCTCTGAACATCCTATATGACCTGGATGGACTCGAATACTTGAACTCTTACTCGAGTACGAAAAAAGGAAAACTTTACCCTAAAAATCTGAAGATCATTGAATATTACAATTGCTTAACCTATCTCTCAAGAGTTAGATATTGTTGTAGTGGCCTTTGACTCACTTTCAAAATATGGAGCATACTTTGATCGGAAGACTTGACCCCTTTAGCATGTTAGTTTGGAGATTAGATGATTCACCTTTATATTTCTTCTTTTTAGGGACGTATTGGAGCGGAGGAGTTACTTTCTTGGTGTGAGACACAATGTTCCCTTTATGAGACTTATTTGGGTTGGGGTGTACCTTCTTAGCAACTACTTTGGTTTTGTCGGCAACCACCTCAACTTTTTTAGCCGTGGACTCGTCATCCTTGTCATTCATGACATCATCAACTTTTAGCTCCTTCATAATGCGGTTCTTCAAGTAAGAATATTGCATCGACGAAGTGTGACTCAGCCTCGGTGAATGGCTCCTCATCAACAATTATCTTCTTCTCGACTTCACCTTCATAGTATTTCAAACATTGATGGTAGGTAGATGGAACCACTTTATTCTCATGTATCCAAGGCCTTCCAAGCAAGACGTTATATGAAGTCTTTGCATCGATCACATGCAACCATGCACTTGATTGCATATCTTCAATGGTGATTCCCAACCTGATTGCACCTATGGCTCTTTGCCCCCCTTGGTTGAATCCTTGAATCATAACACGACTTTCCAAGAGTTCGTTCATGGGAATGCTGAGTTCTTTTACAGTGCGAACTGGCAAGATGTTCACTAAGGATCTTCCGTCAACCTAAATTCGATTTACTCTTTCATCGCGCATATAGCCAACCAGGTATAATGGGCGGATTTTGAAGAGTGTCACCCAGTAGAAGATCGTCATTCGTGAACGTAACTTTTTCCTCACAAGCTTTAACTTCTTGAGGAATGGACTCGATGAGCTTTTCCGAAGATGGTGCCGATGGTAGGTCATCACTCTTTTCTTCCCCTTTGTCAGCATGGCAACAAGAGGCATCAATACCCCCATGGGAAATCTGCGTGCGGAACCAACTTGGTAAAAACTCCTCCAAGGTCACTGGATGTCGGGGCTTTTGAGGGTGGTGCACCTCCACTTTTGCTTTCTTTAAATGCTTAACTGGATTCCATATCCTTGGTCTTTCACCATCATTTTCCTTGTTGGTTGTTCTATTGATTCTTTTCGTGGGCTCGTTTTGTGGTGCCTACGACGAGTCACCAACGTCCAACCTTTATCATTATCAGGTTGATTGACTTCAGCTTTGTCGTTCTCCAATAATTCTTCATCTTTAATTTCTTTAAAACCACACAATTCATTCGGACTGAATGAGCCAAATGTGATAGAGACTTGGTCGCGCTTGCTTTCTCATCTTCAAGCACGATCTTCTTTTCGCGAGCCATGTCCATAACTTTGTCCTTGAAGACAAAGCACTTCTCCAGAGGGTGGCTCACAAGTCGATGGTATTTGTAGTAATTTGGGTCATTTGTTTTCCTAGCTTCATTTGGTCGCTTCATCTCCGGCAGCTCAATGAGATTTAACGAGGAGTTCTTCAAAAATAGTTGGCACATCCGAATCCAGAAATGGGTAGTCTTTCTCTTGCATTTCTTTTAGAGTTAACTTTCCACTTGGCTTATCTTGAAAATATGTGGACTTCATACTCTGCTTCTTGCTCACCTTCGTCGTGAACTTTATAGGTGATGTGTTGACATTCATGGCTTCTTTGTTTATAGACCTTGGTACCAACTCAGTCCATTTCCTGACTTCTTGCTTGTCGTTCCCTTTGCGGGGCTCATAGATAGGCAACCTTCATTTTCAGCGGAGGCCATGCTTAACTCCATGTCGTGGGGCACGAGTTGCAAGTTCTTTAAATGTGCTAGGCTTGATACCTTGCAAGATGTAGCGGAGTCCCCAATGCATGTCTTGGATGCACATCTCTATGCCAGAAGCTTCACTAAGCCTCTTTGTGCAGTTGAGGCTTGCATTCCTCCAACGATTGATAAAGTCGATAACTTTTTCACTCTTTCATTGACGAGTATTTGTGAGTTCTATCATACTCACAATACGTCTCGTGCTATAAAAGCGATTGAGGAACTCTTGCTCTAGTTGATCTTAGCTATCAATAGATCCATCCTCGAGGTTTGTGTACCAGTCAAAAGCATTTCCTTTTATCGAGCGGACAAACGGCTTGACGAGGTAATCTCTATAAGTCCCAGCATTATTGCACGTCTCTACGAAGTGCGACAAATGTTGCTTTGGATTACCTTTACCATCAAACCGTTGAAACTTTGGAGGTTGATAACCAGCAGGCATCTTCAACATATCGACCCTTGCAGTGTACGGTTTTGCATATGTAAGGGAGGACTTGGCAGCAACTTCATACTTATTTTTAATAGTTCCTTCAATGAACTCCTTTAGTTGATCGATCGGAATCATCCCTTCAGATGAGACAGGGATAGCCTTAGCGGATGCTACTTGTCTTGGGGGAGAATCACTCTTTGGAACTTTTGGGAGCTTGCCAGGTGCGTGGGTGGATTCTTCTTTCATCAAGATTCCCACCCTATCTGTTAGCTTGTCGATTCTAGCATCTTGAATTTGCATGCACTTGGTCAAGCCAGCGATTGCTTCCGTCAAGTTTGCCAACTACTCCTCCACAGATGAAGTGTTTGTCACCATGGCTTGCATGATTGTTATGGACGATGGAGAGTAGCATGGATTGTCACACAAATGATCCTTGATTAGCTCATGCTATGTGGTGTAAGTGGGGAGGATCCATCACTTGAAGCATCACCATCTTCCTTCACAGCAGAGTGCTTGGATCCGAAGAGGTCAAGCAGAGCAATAGTTTTCTTGATCTTTTCAGCAACATCGCTTCCTCCTTCGGGTGCATTTGCGGAAAATCTTGCTCCTTTTGAGGGTGAAGATCCGAAAACAGGGGTAGATGCGGACGACACTTGGGGTGCTTGTTATCCTAACGAGCTTGCTTACCTCCTCTGCAACTGGTCCAAAGCTTCCAAAGGTAACATCGAGGATGTTTTCCATATTAGCATAGAACCTGGAATTAGCAGCCTTGGTGGAAGTTGAACTGGTGTTGATTTTCTTTGAAGCCATTTCGTTGTTCTTGAACTTTGGTGATTGAAAAGTTGAGATGAGAGGTAGAGATTGTCCCACTGGGCGTGCCAGAATTTTTAGTCAATAAAATTGCGCCGAGAAAACAAAATCAAGACCGAAAAATATTGCAACAATCGTAGTATTTTATTTCAAATGATATGAGTGTACAATCTCGATGAATCCTCTGATTCTTCTTTCCAATAGTAAATAATTCAAGGGCCTTTGAGCTTGATCTTGAATATGTAGTTGCTGCCACGAACGTTGATCTTGTTCTTGAGCTTGAGCTTAATTGCTTGAAATTGACCTTGATTTGTTCTTCGTTCTTGAGCTTGAACTTGATTGATTAAAGCTTGAAACTCGTGGAGGAATTTGCAGCGTTTGATCCACGAGCTCATTCTTGCTTCTTGTTATAACTTCTGGTGTCTTTTATGGGTTATGAAAACCCCTATTTATAGTAATGGGAGGGAAAAGTTGATAAGTATAAACTCTTTCCGACCAATCAAATTCAAGCGTGACAAGGCCGCATTTGATTGGCCAAAACATATCACTTGCACACGTGGCGCGATCTTGGCCTTTTAATGTGACTTGACATGCCTTGTCATTTTGACACGTGGCATGATCCCATTGGCTCTTCCGTTTGACTCGGAGTGACACGTTATTTGACACGTGTCACTGAGCCTCTAGGAAGATGACATATTGTGCTTAATGTAGTGGGCTCATCACTTTTGCCCGATTAAATGGGCTAGCCCAATGGATTAAGACTTATTTATTTAATGAATATATATTGGATTATATAATTAATTTAATTATATTAGTCCAATAAATTTATTTGAACTAATATGTCTTGAATTTAAAATATATTCCAAATTATTTTACGAATTTAATTTCAACAAAATTTATATGCCTACAAATATATTTTCAGTTAATATGTTTCCAATTTTTCTTGCAAAATTTTACTTTTAATGCCTTAAAAGGAAACCTATCTTTACGTTACAATATCTGATTCCATGTTTTTTCACATAAAATATAATAGAAATAGCTATAAGTAAAGAATTTTTATTCAACCGCAGTCATGCTTTAGTATCAAACAAGCTGAGATGGACTATCTTAACTTAGGAAAGAAATTATTTATAGGAACTTTTTATTTTTTTACAAAAAATTGATAAAAAGACTTTTTATTAAAAAAAACAGAGAAAAAAGAAAACTAAATACATGTGTCTGTACCCTGACCCCTGTTCATCATCTCTTCCATCTCTCTCATCAGATATATACAGCAAAGCACAACTTTTCTTCAATCTGGAGCAATCCTAGGGTTTCTCTCACACTCGGAACCTCAGCTTACAGCTACTTTGCCGTTCTAAGATTCGGTGAAAATAATGTCACAGAACGGAAAATTAATGCCGAATCTGGACCAGAACAGCACCAAGCTCCTCAACTTGACCGTTCTTCAGCGTATCGATCCTTTCATTGAAGAAATTCTTATCACTGCTGCTCATGTTACCTTCTACGAATTCAACATCGATAACAGCCAATGGGTAATTCAATTTTCCGAATTTATTTATTTATTTTGCTCTTTCTATTTAATATAATTTGTAATTGAATTGCTTATACAGAGTCGAAAGGATGTGGAAGGATCTCTATTTGTTGTCAAGAGGTGAACTATTAGGAAACTCATCTTTAATAGAATATTTGTTTTAAGTTTTGATTTTGCCTTCTGTATTTTTCTATTTTGTGATGATTAATTTTTATAGAGGGTGTTACAGGAGTTCTCAACCGCGGTTTCAGTTTATTGTTATGAACCGAAGAAATACAGGTCAGTTTCACAATTACTCTCCACTTGCATTTTGTGTTTGGTTGATTAGAAAGTATCTTGCTTTTTCCCTGTTGAAAGATGTTCATGAAGTTATACATGATTGACTATTTGATGTGGAGACCCCGGAATTGTACTAATACTATCTATAGCCTTTACTGCATCACAACAATGTAAATTACATGACATTCACTTTGGGTCAGAGGTAGAGTTACCTTTTTCTCCGGGGGTGGGGGTGGGGGAGGTTAAGAATCCTTTAACAAATAAGTACGCAAAGATACTTATAAAATCCTTGCTTTAGCATTTGGATCGCTAACTTGCTTCACTCAGATGTGAATTTTTAATATGAAGGCTCGCCTTTCCTTTTGAAGTCATTTAATTGGGTGCCAGTATGGATCCACAGAATGTTAATTGAATAAGCAGGAGAGAAGAATGCAGTTGGACTATCTTTGAATAAGAGGCTCCGTCTTAGAACATAAAATGCCTACTACGAGGAAGGGGGGGGGGGGGGAGTTCTTACAACTCGCACCAATAGCAGGCGAATGACTTCTCCTTTGATAAAATTGGATACCTGATGTCACTCATATTCTTAATAAAATTTTGACTTGGGTGTTGACTAATATCAAATTACTAAACCCAGTCCACAAAATAAATATTCTGGCAGATGGAAATAACAATTCAATGTATTATTATTCAATAAATGAGAAGGAATGCACAACACTGAGGACTCTTTCTTAGTTAATAAAAGAAAGAAAACCAAGTGTCCTTTCACATTTGCATGTTCCGAGGTAATTGACAGACACGAGAGATTTGGTTCGACAAGCCTCCTTTGCCCTTTCTATATGTGGCTTCACCACTAAGCTTTAGTTGAAACAACGCTCAACACTTTGCTATTAGTGCCTCTGTCTTGGCGCTAAAACTCTGGGGTCCAATTCTACGAGTCATGCAGCAATGAGATTTGGCGTGTAAAGCTTCTCATATGAATGTCATATTTACTGATAAGTTGCAACAGAACGTTTGTGAGTTTGCCTTCAGCGTGAGTACGTTTGTTCAATTTCTGTGCTTTACAAAGAGTTCATTCCTGTGTGCAGATAATTTGGTGGAGGATCTCCTGGGGGATTTTGAGTATGAGGTCCAGGTTCCATATTTGTTGTATCGAAATGCTTCCCAAGAAGTAAATGGGATATGGTTTTATAATCAGCGTGAATGTGAAGAAGTTGCAAATCTCTTTGACAGGTAATATTTCTCAGCTTTTCTCTCCAGAAATGCTCCCTTTCTTCCCAACCCTCTTTTCTCTTTTGCCTTGGGTTGTCTTTTTGGTTCCAAAATGTATAGGGTGTTAATTCTAGGACAAAAGGTAGTTAAATTTGCATGATGCAGCATTTGAAGGACTCAATTGTTAATGCTTCTGATCATGATTTGGGGAATGCATATGTGGGAATATCTGTGGTTAGTAGATGATTCTAAGATATAGTGGAAAAATTGTTACTTATAACAGTCCTGTGTATAAGCTAATGTCTAATAGGTCATAGCGTAGTTGCAGAAATAAATTTAAAATATTTTAAAGCCCTACTTGATGCTTTGAAGAAATAGTTCATAAAGTTAAGTTCAATTGCTAATTGAAGATTATATGGAACTGAGAATGCATGGAGCATTGGTGCCTAGCGCTGCAAACCAGCACTTCCAACAACATACTAGTTAACTAAATTGTACAACTAGCTAATGAGAAGCAAAGGGATTAAAAGAAGTACCTTTCGGATCGTCCCATGCATTTTTTTCTCTTTGATGATTAACTTTTTAAACCTGTCAATCAATTTAGTGTTTGCTGGTGATCAGGATACTCGGTGCGTATTCCAAGGTGCCTACCAAGTCAAAAGTACCACTGACAAAGAGGTATTTCATTTCATGCTTACTGGAATTAAGATACTTCTAGCGAGCTTTACACCCCCCCCCCCCCCCCCCCCGGGGCCAAATAAAAATAAAAATTTAAGATGTTAGGGTATTAAAACAACTTCAGCATTTTTACGATTGCGCTTTTCGTGATAGATTTCTTGACCTTTATATCGATTATTGAATTTCATCTTGACATTTGAAGAGTTGCGCCTAAGTTAAATCTTACTGAAAAGGTGCATAGTAGATAAATGTTGATGACAGCCAGATGAAGGGACTTGATCAATCAGATATGTTTCAATTCCCAAGTCAACTCTTCAAATAGTAGAATCTTTTACCGCAAGTAAGCTGCCTGGTTTTAGGAGAAGTGTTAGTTAGTGGGTAGACATGTCTGCTTCTCACTCGATGCTTACCTGTCTGATTAACTTGATGAATGACCTGATATTTGGTTGAAGCAACCAGGGTGGTAGGTTAAGTAATGAACCGCGAGGTGAAGAAGGAAATTTTTTAGGTCAACTTTAACCCCCCTTCCCCCTCCATGTTAACTTTTTGGAGTAATCTCTTTCACTGCTAGCCATTTGCTCAAAAATTTTTGACTGATGCCAGTTGCTGTTAATCGGTTTCTGAAAGGAACTTTTGGTTATCTGCAATTTACTACAGTGAATTTGAAGAGCTGGAAGCAGTTCCAACCATGGCTGTAATTGATGGTCCTCTGGAGCCATCGTCGTCTACTGCCACAAATGCTCCGCATCTCCCTGAGGAAAATGCCTTTTTGAACTTCTTCAGTGTATGCTTTTTTTTTCCCCTCCCTTTTCTTTGCTCTTCTTCCAATATATCGTGTCTGTTGTGCAAGATATCTTACTGAGGAATATCTTTTCCATGTGTCGGTGCCTTTTGAAGATCTTTAATTACTCTTGTTAGGCATTTGTTTTCAGATCTTTAATTTTGTGTAGAACAACTTTTCTTAAGTATTAGTGGGGTATATGTAATATGCATTCAGTATGTTAGTCGAACACGTGATGGCTACTCTTGTGCATTTTCAAGCTAAACCTGTTATTTCATATTTGACCCCAATATACAAGGGTATATAGGTACTTGCAAGTTGCATGTTTGTGTTTAAAAATTAAAGCACCCAAGAGTATAGTCTAGTGGTCAATGAAGTTGGTGGAGAACCATGAGGTCTCGGGTCAAATCCCAGTGGAGACAAAAATACTAGGTTATTTCTTCCCATCCATCTAAGCCATGGTGGACAGAGTTACTCGGTACCTGTGCTGGTGGGAGGTAGCAGGTACCCGCTGAAATTAGTCGAGTGCGAGCAAGCTGGCCGAACACCACCGTTATTTGGAAAAATATATATACAAGGGTAGAACACTGTCTATACTCTAGGTAATGACTTGGATGAAGTCTCAAGGAGTACTAGGACTTGAACTCAGGCCATGAATTGACCTTGAAGTAAAAAAGAAGAAATGGTCCAAGCTTGCTCTGTGCAGTAATTTCCTTAAAAACACTAATTAGAAATCCAGCCAACAGTTAATGATTATGTTGGTAAGGAAAAAAACCATAAACAACAACAACAACAACAAACCTAGTGAAATCCCACAAGTGGGGAGGGTAGTGTGTACGCAGACCTTACCCCTAACTTATGAAGGTAGAGTGGTTGTTTCCGAAAGACCCTCGGCTCAAGAACAGTAAAAATGAAGCAATAGATAAACAATAGCAACAACAAGATAATAAGACAATGGAAGCAAATGATACAACGAGTAATAACAGAGATCCAGGGATACTAAACTACAAGAGTAGTGCCAATCCTACTGATAATAATGACAAACCGTAACAAGGCACTAGGAATAGGAAAATACACGACTAGTACTAATACTACTGGTAAGACAAGGCGAAACTCTAGATTGTCTGTCAACCCACCACCCTAATTCTCGACCTCACACCTTTCTATCGAGGGTCATGTCCTCGGTAAGCTCGAGCAGAGTCATGTCCTGCCTAATCACCTCACCCCAGTCTGCTTAGGCCTCCCTCTACCCCTCCTTTGACCCGCCATGGGCAATATCTCACACCTCCTAACCGGGGCATCAGAGTCTCTCCCCTTCACTTGTCCGTACATAATAAATACTTCTTAAAAGAGAACCAACTGGAAATTTTGATTTTTACTATGTTGTCTCATCTTAACTAAATTTGTGCTTTTCTTTTGCAGAATGCTATGACAATTGGGAATGCTCCGAGTACTACAGTTCCAGGGCAGCCATACCACTCATCTTCACCGGTCCTGCCTCCTCCTCGTCCTCCTGCTGCTGTTCCTCCCTCTTCTGCACCTGCCCTGATTCCATCTCCGCCTCTTTCAACTTCTTCCCTTTTGAGGCCCCTCCTTGATGCATCTGAATCAGACAGCAGTGCTAAATGGTCTTCAAATCTGGTGAAGCCATCATCATTTTTTGGTCCTCCAACCGCCTCTTCTCCGCTGATGCCTGCCGTTTCTTCATCTTTGCCCACTGCTCCCCCACTTCTTCCGCTTGGGAATCTCCAACGTCCTTATGGAGCTCCTTTGCTTCAACCATTTCCTCCGCCGACTCCTCCTCCATCTCTCACTCCTGCTTCTGCTCCTACCCCAAACTATGGACCTGTTGTTAGCAGAGACAAAGTGCGGGAAGCACTTCTAATGCTTGTTCAGGTATGTTTTCCTGAATTCCTTGGTTAGTTTGCTATGTTAAACATTCTTGAAGACATTAAATTTTTTTCCCACCCACTGTCCCGTACCCAGTTTGGGGCCCCTTCGCCTTAAAGTCCCACCTTTGGGGGGGGGGTGTGTGGTGGTGGTGGTTAAAAGCGTTCTTACCAAAATGATACAAATTAAGATACACGGAAGCCAGAAATTGATAAACAATCAAATAATAAGATAAGATAGCAAGGATAGATCTAGAAATAGAAAATGAGGGGGAAGAGACTTAGAAGAAAGAAGGGATAAACTAACAATTAAACTAAAATTTAATTACTAGAATAAATCCATGGGAGAAGAGACATGAACTCATACATGGAAATCCACACATTGGATCAATCCAAGAAAGGTTCAAAGAGAGAAACTAGGGAACAATCCCAATACCTTACCCGACAAGGTAATTCTTCTATTATCCAAAATCTAGCTTTCTACAAATGAACTCATCCTAATCTAGATCTAGATAAGGTAGAGAAAGACATAAGTACCCCTTAATGGGCCTAACTATTATGCCCTAAAGGGAAAACTTGAAGCCCAAGTATTTCAATCATTGCAAGCATGGCCTAGGTCCACATGCTTGCGTCCACGTCATCAAGATGGCTCACGTGATGCTTGCGTCCACGTCATCAAGGTGGCTCACATGAACGGTGGTTGCTGAACGGTGGACTGGTTTGTATCAAAAGGCAACTCCATTTTCAAGGCTCGAACCTTAGACCTCTAGTTAAGGATAACAGGGTGTACTTACCACCCCATCACAACCTCACCACAACCTTTGAAGATGAACGCATTCAACTTTTAGTAATCTACAGTTAATTGCTTTTGTCCTTTTAATGAGAGATTGGTATCGCAAGGTAAAGACACTGTGCTGAGAGGGTATACTAAAGGAAAACAATTGTTGTAACTTGCATAGCTTTATGTGGAACAAGTCACATTGTGAATGTCAGTAAGAATACACAGCAATCACTTTTAGGACTTGGTTTTTGTAGCTTCTCTCATTTCCTCTCATTCTACATGACATAAGCTTTCATCTGGAGGCATATCTGGATGTCATTCCACTGAGAAGGATGAGACATTTAAGAAGTGCAGGATGTCTATATTTATACCTTTTACGCGTGTGTGTGCGTGTATATATATATGTGGTGTATCTGTGAACCTGTTAGCATCTGGTTGCTCTTGCATTGGACATTTGACTAGCTAATTGGAAATTTACACCACATAACACTAAAGTGTTGATTCGTTACATACTTTTTAAACTGTTTATTCTCTAAAAAGGATATGTATGACGTGACAGTCACAAGTAGTGGTGGAAAAATGGATAGAAAAAGCAGTTAGCTATCCATATTATCCACTAAAAAATTGGGTTAGATAATGAACTTTTTAAAAATGGGTCATATACGGATAAGAACCATATTATCCGCTTAAAAAATGGATAACCAATGGATAACTACTGGTTTTAACTTCTACATTTGTAAAGACTCAAATTAGGGGTTTTCAAGTTTGAGTGACTAGGAATTCTACCAAAAGTGATCATATTGAAAAAGCCATGGATAATATGGATATCCATATTATCCGCCGGTTAGCCCATTTTCTATCCATATTAAATATAGGTCTGGTCGAATAATTCATCCATTTTTGCATTACCCGTTTTGACCCGTCTACATTCGACCCGACCCGACCGTTTGCCACCCCTAGTCACAAGTGTGAGAACAATGGGAGATACAAGGGAATTCACCATAATTGTGAATTTACGTATGGATCTTCCTTGAGCCCGGTTTTCTTTACCATAGTATGGATTAGGTTAGGAACTACAAAATGGGGTTTGATGTTGCATGTTATTCGTTGATGTTAATTGAGGAAACCAGCGAGGGGGTAAACTAAAACCTGGTACTAGGAGAAGCACTCTAGAGAATGGGGGATTTATCATAAATAGAAGTGAGGTAAATAATAATATTGGAAATTTAGTCTTCACAAGGAGAACAATAATTGAAGTCACATTGAAGGGATCTGTGTTGACTAAATGCAGAAATTCCAGTTACCTAGGCTCAGTCTTCCAAGAGAATGACATGAAAGATGGAGAAGTGATACAGGAGCTTTGTGTGTGTAGAATGTCTATGCGTACAGCAATGTTATGTATGAACGAATATTGGGCTTCTTCACTGGAGAAGTGTCGTATAAATGTAGATGTTAATATGGATGTGCGTCATACAAAATTGGACAAGATTAGGAATAATCACATCAAGAAGAGCTGAAGAGGGTGCAAGTAGCATAAACATAGGATAATCGGAGAGGAATTTGTCTGGAATAGTTTGCATGGCTGCGTAGTCCTTCAAACGCATTTAGTGAGTACCAAGTAGTATAAACATAAGATAGTTGGTGTTTTGTACAACAGTTTGTGCATTTTGCTTTAAGGAAATCAAAAGATTGATGACCTTGTGTTTCTTTATGAAGCTCCTTATTCTATCAAGATTTTCCCTATTATATGAATTTATTTGTGAATTCCTCCTCATCAGATTTTTCCTATTATATATGGTCCTATTTTATTGGTACTGTTAAAGCATGTTTGCATTTCAGCAATAGGTTAATACTTGCTTACAGCGGATTAACTCTCAATTCAGATGCTTTGAAAAGCCTGTTAAAATTTAATCCAAAATTCTTGATACGAGAAAATGAACATCAATCTGTAAAAGTGTTAAGTTCTTTTCTGCATAAAATCATTGGTCAACTAGCAGTTTTTATGTACTAGGTCTGAAATGATTCTTTGTGGCTGGTGAAAGAAAAATATTACTGACATGGCGCTACATATCAGCATGATATCATTGTCTTTGGTCCTTTACCACTCCAATAGGGAGGGAGGGAGGAAAGATTGGTCAAACATTTAAGAAAGAAAATAGTGTCAATAATACAGGAATGAACAGAACTGGATAAAAAGCAACAACAACAACAACGACCCAGTATAAATCCCACAAGTGGGGTCTGGGGAGGGTAGTGTGTACGCAGACCTTACCTCTACCCCGATGGGGTAGAGAGGCTGTTTCCGATAGAAGAACTGGATAAAAAGCATATTTCATAAAAGCAGATTAAGAAAGAACATTTTTTTGCACTATGCCCTTGGGGTAAAAGAAAGGGAAGAAGAGAAGGATCATCTATGTGCTTGCTTGTGGACCCAAATAGTAGCAAAATATAATGGAAACTAAAGCTTTCTAACTGCTGTACAATTTGATAGTGGCAGTCCATTGATACTCCTTAAAACCATAGAGGGAACCATAAATTTGTTGGCTTTTAAGAAGAATGTCTAATTAGCTCCTTGTGCTCTACCAAAACCACAGAATTTTGCAGGAGAACAGAGAGAAACTGTAAAATACAAGCATGCTGAACAATATCTAGAGTTCTAAGAATTTGAGATGCAGGAACAATGAAAAGATTCTGAATTCAGTTATTATGAACTAGTGAGCGACTCTAGTCGATGAGGGGCTATTGTAGTAGCATTCTATGCTCATGTGTTATTCTATTCTTGATAGAGTTGCTGGTAATGTTTGTATCTTTTTTTTCTTTTCCTATTCCAATTAATCTTATGCTTATTCTTTCCTGTTACAAGTCTTTATTTGATATGCTCTCTTCTGGTCTTTTCATGCATCTGATATGATCTTTATTTCCATAACAGGATGACCAATTCATTGACATGGTATACCGGGCAGTGCTAAATGCTCATCATTCATAATATGAAGCGGAACTCTTCTAATTCGTCTAATGAGATACATCGTGTTTACTGGAGCTGAAAGAGGATCAAGTGTATAGGGGGGTTCCTTCTGTTTATGGTGTCTGTGAGACCCGCTATGTATAGTTATAGTTTGTTTTTTTATTTTTTGCGTTAGTTTTTGGAGTTTAACCTCTCTGATATATAGTTGTTTTCGTTTGTGGGTTTTACCAGTCTGGACACTCCAATTTTGTTCCTTGTAATACTATTAGCGAGAATCATGTGAACTGGGTATGTGTTGCCAGCCTTGGCCTGTGCAAACAATTCTTATGATGATCTTAGCCTGGTCCGGTTCAGTACAAAAAAATTAAGAAGACTAAAGACAACCTAATAGGTAATCAGCGAAATTTTTCTTTACGAGTTCAAACTTCAAAATCATATTCTTTAACATCTATAAGTGGATGCTTAATTTTTTTGTATCAAAATCTAGATACATTTGTAGTAAAAACTGCACGGGGCGCCTTATTTGGTCGCTCCCATTTAACCTATACCCATTTTTTAAAAATTTTTTAATTTGTACCCACTTTTTAAATAACTTCAGCCCCCTTTCTCCTCCTCCTTGCTTTGCAACTCTCTCGAATCATATACAGGAGAATCTCACCTAAGAACCTTAGGACGGTCTTCCCATGCAGTGATACTATATAAATGAACACTTTCTTCCTGGTCTCTCAATACCAGTCTCCTTTTACTAGTTTTTTTTTTTGTTTAGCTGGACACTAACACCCACAGAAAACAGCAAGGATCTGCACAATCTCCTGAATACTTTAGAACATAGAATCTGGCACTTTAAATTTTTTAACCTCTTTTTTCTCCTCTATTTAGCTTCATCTGACCATGAATAACCACAATGTCCAAGTTTGTTCTTACTGCTATAAAGCTGTAGTATTAACATGCCTTGTCATTGTAGTCTTAAAGAAAATAGAGTGGCTCGATCTCCTGTCATTGTATTCAAAGATACTATAATAATTTCTGTGTGCAAAAAAAGATCTCAAAATTAGTTACTCATATGTCTTTTACAAGACAAAGCACGTGAAGAACCCTACTTGTTTACTTCTTTCAACCTTTTCAAGTTTGCTGGATATTTCTGGAATCCGAGATCATCTGTATTTTCAGGTGAATGTACTTGCAACATCAAAGTTGATCAACCGCGAAACACCAAAAACAGTAGTGATTCCCTAGAGCTGAAGTTCGCTAATTACAAAACAAAAACTTCAGCTCTAGAGCTGAAATTCGACAGTTACAAAACAAAAACTTCAGCTCTAGAGCTGAAGCTTACAAACAAAAACTTCAGCTCTAGAGCTGAAGTTCGCCAGTTCGACAGTTACATAGCAAAAACTTCAGCTCTAGAGCTGAACTTCAGGCCCGGCTACTAGAATGCTGAAGTTTTGCGTGATTGCCTTTGCTACTTCAGCCCCGTATGCTGAAGTTATGCGAAAAAGCGGGTACGCTTGCAATTTTTTTTGCAAAGCGGGCACAAGTTAAAACGTGACACAAAAAGCGGGTATAGTTGCAAATGATCCAGAACATATTTTTGATTTCAATGATTTGTTACTAGTAATACGCTTGACCCATGACAAATCACTTGGTCCAGTATCGTGTATGGTTTTATCATTACAGGTAGTTAAAGCAATTAACATAACATGATTATAAATTAAAATATTTATAATTGAAAATTTTAGTTATATTAAATAAAACATTTAAGAGAAAAATCAATGATGTATACATGAGTATTTATTTAAACAATCTCCTATATTTACAAAATTAGCACTTTTAACAATATCAGAAGTAACGAGAGATGTTAATCAAGATGATTATGTAAGCAAGTCATAGTTTAAAGCATTTTTGTCATACATGATTTTGTAATACACATATTTTTATTTCATCTTAAATATGGAGTAAAATAATAGAATGAAAAATTGAAACCAAACACGGTTCCCAATAGGCAGTAAGTAGAGCCCATTTATCCAAAACACAGAGCAGTTTATCCATAAAAATCCACATGGCAATAAGGCATTGATCAATAGAAGGTCTATGAATTTTATGAAAGAGAGAATCATACTTGTCACCACAGATTTCCCAAATATCTATGCTATCCACTTATATAATTTATCAATTATTTTCTTCCATTCTCTATTCCTGGTGACACTAACTGAAATACTATTCAGAGAATAAGAGAAGAAAAGAAGCAAAAATGGCAGCAACAATGTCCACTGTTGTAGGCTTAGTTAGTTCATCTCTTTCTTCTCCAAAGAAGGCTTGCCTCAGCTCAGGTATAGATTTTCTGTTCCATCACCTTAAATTGATTTACAATGATAGGTCCTGAAAAAAGTATTAACATGCTATAGCCAGTTAAATTGAACTTAATTATGGTGTAAATTTTTCAATAGAGCGTAATTCTTTTGTATAAGAGTTTAACTTCTGTGTAATGTGAATGACGAATAATAATATCTCTTCTATTTTCTCTTTACAGGCTTCTTGAAATCACCAGTGACAGCAAGAAACCCTTTAAGGGTAGCACAAGCTTCAGGAGGCAAATTTACATGGTAAATGACCAAATAAAGATCCATCCAATTACAATAGTTTATATATATATATATATATATATTTCCATTTTCTTTTCGATGATTGTTTTTAATTAGCACATGATCATGTTTTGAAGTTTTGAAAGAGATTGGCTGAGGAGAGACCTGAATGTGATTGGATTTGGTTTGATTGGATGGCTGGCTCCTTCTAGCATTCCAGTAATCAATGGCAAGAGTTTGAGTGGCCTTTTCTTTGATAGCATTGGCACTGAACTCTCTCATTTCCCCACTGGACCTGCTCTCACTTCTCAGTTCTGGTATATATACTCTCAACACATTTCATTTCTGCCATTTAAACAATAATTATTTATGTGTGTGTTGTGGACAGGCTATGGTTGGTGTGCTGGCACTTGGGCTTGTTCATCTGCCTAACTTTTGGACAAATTGGATTCAAGGGACGGACTGAGGACTATTTCTCAAAGTAGAATATTCCCTTCTGAAAATTTGTGTATAAAAAAGAAATACGCTATTTCAGATCCTTAGTATTGGTATTTTCCCTTCATTTCAGCATGTTATGAGCGTGAAATACCTTCTACTTTGCAAGTTTTTTTCAATTTTTGCGCTTATTGCTCCAACTATAACATATGATATTGTGTTATTAAACTGCATCGGTTGTCCGCGTGTATAACTTATATTCCTTTAAAAAAAAAAAAATATTCTTAGCTCTTGACCTTAAGTCAACATTCCTATTGAAACGAAGCTGTCAAAAGTAAGTCCTAGGTCACCCATTGTTGAGCTCTTCATAAGCATCGAACTTCAGAGAAGAAGAAAGAAGAAGGAGAGAGAAGGCTAATCTCATTTCTTAACTAACTGAAAAAAGAGGTGTACTGTACACATATATATAACCACCGACTTTACTAACTAACTAACTCTAACTTCACTAATACACCTTCTAGAACAGTGTAACATAAATAGCCTTAGGTACAACTGCATTAAGCTACTAATTTCTACACTCCCCCTCAAGTTGAGAATGGAAAATATTTTTCATTCCCAACTTGGATACCAAAACTGCATGCTGTTGGTGTCTCAAGGCCTTTGTCAAGATGTCAACTGGTTGCGCATTACTTCCTATGTGTCCAGTCTTGATCAATCCTTCTTGAATATTCTCCCTTATGAAGTGACAATCAATTTCTATGTGTTTAGTTCTTTCGTGGTAAATGGGATTCACAGCAATCTGTAAAGCAACTTTGTTGTCGCAAACCAACTCCATAGGCTCTTTAATGTCAACTGTTAGTTCCTTTGGTAGGCCACTTAACCATGTCAACTCTGCCACTGTATGTGCCATGCTCCTGTACTCAGCTTTAGCTGAGCTTCTCGATATGGTGGTCTGCATCTTTGCTTTCCATGAAATGAGAGAATTCCCCAGTTTGATACAGAATCCTGTGATTGACTTCCTGGACATGGGACATGATCCCCAATCTGAGTCACAGAACCCGTGAATTCTTTCTGCACTATTGCTGGACATGAGAAGTCCAAGTCCAGGTTGATCCTTAATATATCTCACAACATGTAATGCAGCCTCATAAGAGACTTCTTTGGAGAATGCATAAGCTGGCTTAGGCTTTGCACATCATATGCAATGTTAGGTCTTGTGATTATCAAATACAAAAGCTTTCCAACTAATCTTTGAAAAAGACTTCTATCTTCCAGGATGCTGTCATCAGTGTTCTCTTTCGCAATCTCATCAAATTCTATGCTTGTAAGCTTCAAATTCTGTTCCATTGGGGTCTTCTTGGGCTTTGACCCTGAGAGTCCTGCTTTTGAAATCATCTCAAAGGCATATTTCCTTTGAGACATAAAGATACCTTCTGATGATCTAGCAATTTCAATTCCCAAAAAATATCTCAATTCTCCAAGGTCTTTCAGCTTGAAGTTCTGATGCAAAGATGCTTTTGATGCATCAATCTCCTCTTCATCATTACCTGTAATAAGTAAGTCATCTACATAGACAAGTACGAGAACAAATTTTCCATTAGTTGTTTTAGTAAATAGAGAGTAATCATGTATGCTTTGATGGAAACCAGATTTGAGAAGAGCTTGTGTTAGCTTTAAATTCCATTGTCTAGAGGCTTGTTTCAAGCCATAGAGGGATTTGAGTAGTCTATATACCCTATGCTCCCCCTGGCTACCAAATCCCTGAGGCATAGTCATGTAGACTTCTTCATGTAATTCACCATTCAGAAATGCATTATGGACATCCATTTGATAGACTGGCCAATGTCTAAGTGCAACAACTGCAATAACAATTCTGATTGTAGTCATCTTAGCTACAGGAGAGAAGGTATCATGAAAGTCAACCCCTTCCTGTTGAGTATACCCCTTTGCCACTAGTCTTGCCTTAAACCTCTCCACAGTGCCATCAGCATTGTATTTAATTTTGTATACCCATTTACATCCTATAGGGACTTTGCTAGGAGGCAGAGTCACTACCTCCCAGGTGTTGTTTTGTTCTAATGCCTCAATCTCAAGTTTCATAGCCTTGATCCACCTGTCTTCTTTGACAACTTGTGAGAAAGATGTTGGTTCAAGATCAGAAGAAAAAGAGGCTAGGAAGGACTGAAAGGTGGGTGAAAGATGAGAATAGGAAATGAACTGATGTATAGGATAAAGTGATGAAGTGGAAGCAGATGTAGAAGGTAAGGAAGGATGAACATAGTTAGTCAACCAGATAGGAGGTTTAGAGACCCTACCTGACTTCCTAACTTGTGTGGGGTAGGTGATTGGGATAGTATTTGAGTGTGAGTTTGATGCATCATGAATGTCAGATGATGATTCTGTAGGCAAAGGGGGAATAGAGGAGGAGGATTGGGTAGGAATAACAGGAGAATCAGCAAGGAAATCAGAAGAAGGAGTAGGTGAGTCTGTGAAATCATTTGAAAGATCAGGAGTAGGAACTTCTGGTTCATTAGTGGCAGAGGGTTCTGGTGATATGTTGGAAGGTGGAAATATATCTGAAGCAAGGTGAGTGGGAGTGGGATCAGGAATCATTAGGAGCCTGTGTTTAGGATATTTGAAGGGAAATATTCCTTCCTTAAAGATAACATCCCTGCTAACCATAAATTTGTTGGCAGCAATATCATACACTTTATATCCTTTTTGTGTTGGTGCATATCCCATGAAGACTCCAGGTGTAGACTTAGGATTGAATTTATCATGGAAATCATTCTTTTTGGCATAACAAAGATATCCAGGCTTCTCATGTGATCAAAAGAAGGAGGTTTACCATGGAACATCTCATAAGGAGATTTTCCTTGTAGGACAGAACTAGAAAGCCTATTTATGATGTATGTTGCTGTTAAAATGCAATCACCCCAGAATTTAAGGGTATGTTGGCTTGAAATCTTAAGGCTCTTCCTATTTCAAGAAGGTGACTGTGCTTTCTCTCTACAATTCCATTTTGTTGTGGAGTGTGCACACAGCTGCTTTGATGAATTATCCCTTTGGATTTGAAAAGATTGAAACAAAGAGTGATAAAAAATTCATGTCCATTGTCTGACCTGACACACTTGACAGTAGTGCTAAACTGATTTTCTACAAGTTGAAGAAAGTCTTTCAAAACAACATACACATCACTCTTGAGTCTTAAGAGAAAAGTCCATGTCATTCTAGTGTAGCCATCAACAAGAGTTAGAAAGTATTTGAAGCCATTGTAAGTACGTACTCTATAGGGTCCCCAAACATCCATATGAACAAGATCAAAAGAAGAAACAGACTTAGAAGTGCTAATAGGATATGACAATCTAACTTGTCTAGCAAGAGGACAAACAGGACAATAACAAACAGATGACTTAGACAGGTATTTATTTATCTCAGGTATAGTTTGTAAGACTGTCATAGAGGTATGTCCCAGTCTTTGATGCCACAGAAAACTTGAACTTGGTTGATGTGAGACTGTCATACACTTAGAGGAAGAAGAGGCAGTAGCAGGTGCTGAAGGATTGAAGATGTAGAGACCTCCTTTGAGTCTACCAATCCCCTTCACCATGCCACTGGAGAGGTCCTAAAAGATGCAAAAATCAGGATAAAAGTGGACAACACTATTTAGTTCTTTAGTGTATTTGGATATAAACAACAAGTTATATTTGAATTTAGGTACATAGAGAACATTATGAATGGTTTCTGAGTTAAACAAGTTGCAGGAACCAGTATGAGTAATTTTGGTGCTATTACCATTTGGTAGATGGACTGAAGATGATTTAGGTTCAGGTATTTGGATGATACTTGACAAGAGATTCAAGGATGATACCATATGATTTGAGGCACCACAATCAATAATCCAACAACTATGTTCAGTTAGTGATTTACCTGCCATGTTGGCAACTTCTGTTGGCTCAGGTTCCTTACTCAATAGTTTGAGAATTTGCTGATATTGTTCTGGAGTAAACCCCTACACAATTGGAACAATTGGGATATTCTGCAGAGCATATGCATTTCCTGCATTTTGAATCTCATCACCTGCATTCACATTATGAGCCATAGGTCCACTGTTGTCATGTATTCCTCTCCTCTTATTGTTATTGAACTTAAAACTTGGTGGATATCCATTGAGTTTGTAGCAAGTATCTCCTGTATGTCCTTTCATCTTGCAGTAATCACATAACAATACACTGTTCCTCCTAGGTCTCATGTTAGAAAAATTTGCAGTCACCAGTGCATTGCTCTCCATCCCTACAGGTGCACTTCCCAAAATTCCATTCTGTGTAGTAGAACCAGCACTTATCCTCTGACTTTCCTCTTGAACAATCATGGAATATGCTTGGTCAAGTGTTGGTGTAGTATGCATCATCAGAATTTGACTTCTTTGTGGTGCATAAGTCTCATTCAATCCCATTAAGAACTTCATAAATTTCTGCTGGTGCAAGAACACAACAAATTGTCTGGACTTCTCACAATCACAACCAGGAAATGGGATAATTGATTCAAATTCATCCCATAGATCATTCAGCCTAGAAAAATATACTGACACACTAGAGATTCCTTGTGTCAAGGAACTTATTTCCTTGTTCATGTGATAGATTTTTGTAGCATTTACTTTATCAAACCTATCCTTCATAGATTTCCATACCTTTTGTGCATCTGAAGAGTACACAGTTCCTCTCCTGAGTTCTGGTGCTACTGAACTTCTGATCCATGACTGGACTATTGCATTGCACCGTTCCCATTATCTTAGCCTAAAGTTATCTTTCTCATATTGATCTCTAGTACAGGTTCCATCTATAAAACCTAGTTTATTCTTTACCAGTAGCGACATTGTCATAGATCTACTCCATTCCGAATAGTTTTCTGTTCCAATTAGCAATTCAGGCACAAGTGAAATACCAGGTGTGTCCGAAGGATGTACATATAGCAGATCGTTGCAATCGATTATTTGAGTATTTGCATGTGATGATTCAGCACTCGCATCAGGAGTATCGATAGCCATTTCAGCAAAAAATCAAAGAATTTTGAGAATTTTTCAATCAGAAGACAATTTTAGAAGAGCAACTAAAATGATTGGAGAAAACAGAGATCTAGAAGAAATGATTAGATGCTGGAGCTCGAGAATCAGAATCGCATGGAGCCGGACTCTGATACCATGTCA